CAGGCTGTATGCCCAACGAGCGGTGTGCTGGCTGTGCTATCGAGCGTCGCAGCCGTCCGTGTCAGCCGCGCCGATCGCGCGTCGGCGGTGGGGACCGTGGTGAGCCCGGATGCGCGTTTGCGAACCGCTGCACGGATCACCTTTGTTCTTGCGGGATCCTGCAGACGTCCGTGCTCTCAGTCGATCCCAGGACGTTGCATACGAGGCCGGTACTGGCCGTGTTCTTCCTGCTCGTGGTGCGTCGCGGGCGCGGAGTCGAGTGCTGCGTTATGCGCACGAGATTTGCGGCTCCGAACGGCGTCGTCTTGCTAGTACAGAGGTACGGATCAAATGCTCCATTAACAGACAGGGCCCGGACGTACCGGCTGGCAAGTTCAGCCTGCTGCCCAAGACAGGGTGCGGCGGGAACCTATTCGAGCGAGGGAGGCGTCGCACTTGGAGCTCCACAGAAGGGCATCCAAGCGGGCTACAGACGTCCAGGACGTCGAGCAGGGCGAAGGAGAGGGCGCTGTGCAAGTCCCAGAGCCGTAGGGACGTCCTAGGCGTGGTGGGGTCGTCTAGAGGGGTGCTGTATGGTGCCAAGCTTTCTGGCAGGGTCGAGGATGCGGGGGAGGGTCGTCGTCGGGTGTGAGCAGCGAGCGCAGCGGGAGAGGAGGTGTCCGTATGGCCGTCCAAGAGGGACAAGACCACGCAGGAGAGCGGCAGGCGGAGCGAGGGCGTGCAGATCGAGGTCGGGCCTCCAGCCGAGGAACGAGCGCTGGCCTGCACTTGCGTGGGGCGGGCGAGCGAGGCGAGACCGAGACTGGCCAAAGAGCACAGAGATGCGAGAGAGAACGAGCAAGAGAGCGAGGCAGAGCGAGAGAGGGAGACGGCAGACGAGTGCAGGACGCGATCGAGATAGACGCCCGGTCGATGCGAGCCACGTGGGGCAATCTCTCCTGCGCCCGCCCAGTGCCTGCCTTTCTCTCCTACTCTCTTCTCTCTCCCGCGCATTCTGCAGCAGCTGCTCGCGATGGGCGACGTCCTAGTCCCGCCTGAGATCACCGCGGAGGGCACCTAGATTCTCTCCAACCTCGTCCTCGGCGATAATGCCATCCGCACTAGGTAAGTCCTTCGCTCCGCATCGATCCTCTCCCTCTGCTGAACGCGTCTGCCTCCGCAGTGCAGAGAAGGCGGTCAACGACCGCCTCGAGCAGACCCCGGAGCTCTACCTGCTTGCGATTGCCCAGTCCCCCACCTCTGCTGACACCGAGCTCGTGAGTTCTACGCATTTCCTTGCCCGTACACGTCCGACTGCGCCCCCAGATGCGCTCCTTCTCTCTCGTCCTCCTCCGCCGTCTCCTCTTCCGTCCACCCTCGCCGAACCGTCTCGCGCTCTACGACCAGCGCTCCGCGCCCGCCATCCTGACGCTCGAGCGCATCCTGCTCCACTCGCTCCTCCACTCGCCCGCGCCCATCGTCCGCCACAAAACCGTGGACACCGTCACTGATCTATCCAACTACTCCATGAAGCGCGGCCGTCCGTGGCACATGTTGCAGTCGCAAGTATTCGCCATGGCCGACAACACCAACGTCCACACGCGCGAAGCCGCATTCCGCGTCTTCGCACCCTGTCGCGACAACACGAGCGCGCACTTTGAGTACGTGTGCACGTGCCCGCGAATACAATAGCGCAGGTCTGCGTCCACGACCACCCAGGTAACTCGGTGGCAGCGTCTGAGATCGACCGGGGGTACCTGCCGTCGCGCGTGCTCGCCCTGCACGTCCACGTCCAGCAGGTGAGGGGTAACCCTCGCAGGGCGTGTCCTGCGAACACGAACGCACGCGAAGCCCGTGCAAGGCTGTTCTATCGTAGCTCCTACGCGCCCGGCTCGAAGGTGACTCTGTGTCCGGGGCCGCGGCGCCCTGCGACTGAATGTGGGTGCTGGGATCGCCAGTCGGGCGGTAGATATACACAATATATCTTGTTCTCGAGCATAGCAGGGACTTGTGTGTGCACGAACGGCGGGTGAGCGGTGTGTTCCGGTCCGTGCGTGGTGGTTAGCGAGTGCACGTGTACAGACGGCCGCGACGAGATTAACGGATTCTGCATGTGAGGTGGGGCTCTGGTGGGGACTTGGTGCAGGGGGAGGGGGAGGACTTGGCACAACGGTCGAAACTCGCACTTTCGCCGTCCAAATCGCATCGTATTCCATCGTAGTGTACTCGTAGTGTACAGGGGCAACATATCAAGCCGGGCCGCGCAAAACTACAGGCTGTAAAGGGGAAACAAGTCCGAGGAAGCCACTCCACGAGAACAACTCCCGAATACTCAAAACATCTCCGAATCGTGCAATTCGATGTTTGCCGTGTCGTACCATGTCCAGTGCACCATGCGCATCCCTGCGCCGCGCGCGTCGTCGTGAAACCATGCGGAAATCGCAGAGCCCAAGGGACTCCCCGTGGGTGCAGAGTCTGCCTGGCCGCACCCCTCGTAGGCGTCCTGGCACGCCGAAAGTGCGCACACTCATACCCAAGCGTCGTTCCGTGTCGTGGAGTCCGTCTCAACGCGGCTGCGCAGCCGCAGAGTCGCAGAATCACGGGCGGGGGCATCTGGGGGTGCAAGGTCCGGGGCTCGCACGCTCTCAGGATGTCGTGGCGCGCTGGGATCGTGTACAGGGAGTGTCAGGGGTCGGTTGAGTGTGCATACGTCGCTTCCAGGTCACTGTGTGGACATGGACGGTGTCGGGAGCCCGAGAGCTGGCTGGCAGCCCCAGACCAGCGGAGAGCGCTGAGGACACGCCGTGGTATGTCGCGGAACTGCGCGCGGAACTCGCAAAGCAGCGTGGGAGTCCAGTGGAGACGTCTCGACGTGGCCGTGCTGCCGCGATGTAGCAGAATCGAGAACGAGGGTGTCGGGAGCCTGGGGAGTCGAGTATTGCCTCGCGCCGCGAGCAGGCCGGCAGGGGGGTCTAGATCGTGCGTACGTAGTCTGCAGAGTCGTCGTGTGTCAATACGGTGCGTGTCGCACTGCTGCGAAGCCGTGTTGTGGTGGAATCAAGAGAGAGGGCGAGGCTGTGGGTGCAAAACCCTCTGCCGAGGACGTTACAGGAGTCGTAGGGCGCCGAAATCGCGTGGAGTGCTTTCCAGGGGTCGTAGGATGTCGGTAGAGCCCGAGTCACGTAGCTTTGCGGCCGCGAACGCGTGAAATCACGGTCGGAACACTCCAGGGCCCCTGCACTGGCTGTGGGAGCAGAATCCGGCCTCAGGCCGCAAGGAAGACGGCTAGAGACCTGAAATTGCGCGTACACCGTATCCAGAGCCGTGGGGTATCCACACGATGCGTGTCGTGCAGCTGCGACGCCGTTTTATAGCGGAATCGAAAGGGAGGGCGGCGGGAGCCCATGATCTACCTGTAGGCACCAAAACATCTGCCGGGCGCGTCGGAAGAGTCGTGAGATGCCGGAATTGCACACGCGCGGAGTAAAAGGTCATACCATATTTGTGGGACCGCGTGGACGTGGCTGCGACTCCGCGAAAGCGCGAAATCGCGAGGGAGAGTGTCGGATGGGGCCCAATACTCGAACACCCGTCACATCTGCCCAGACGCTCGAATCGCCCCAGATACGGCGCATCCCCCCCCCTCCAGACTAACTTGAAGGCAAAGACATGTGTTCTAGAGGCTGTACGCGCATTGCGAGGCCGTCAAGAGGCCGCACAAGTCGAGGAGGGGATGGCGCACACATAGGCGCCCATCTCGCCCTTCAACGCGGCCATGCCTGCCTTTGGAGAGGTCGTGGGGAGCTGAGATCGCGGGCGCAGGTAGCCGGGCGCCGGCTGGACCGCTGCTGACAGGGTTGCGTGTCCAGCATGTCGTGTACTGGGTGGAGATGTCTGCGGACATGTGGACGAACCCACACGAGGTGAGTACCACTTGTTTCGCATAGGACAAGGCCCTGGACTCACCGTGTTGTCAGGCTCGCGCTGCGCAGTCGACGAGGCCGCGGCAAATGTTGACGGCGCGTACGAGCGTGGTTACGGGCTGGGAGAGAGCAGGAGGGCGGCGGAGTCGTATCGTAGCCGTACTTGATAGACAGGTGCAGTAAAACACTGTCTCTGCAGTGTTGGCGGCCCAGCGGGTTCGCGGGCGCTCGCACCGCTCCCTCATCCCGGACAGCTGGTACCGGGTGTGTCAGCTCATTGGCATTCGTCGATAAACTTGACAGCTTACCGTTATCCAGCTCGCTAGTGCAAATCTTGAAGAACGGCGGCCGGTCCGCGGAGATTCAGGCCGGCTGGGGTGTGGTGGGTGTCCAGAGCAGGTGAGTGCTTCCAATAGCGTGTATAAGCTCGTGTCTCATCTCGTAATGGATATAAGCATCGATTCGCGCAAATTGCGGCGTTTGGCGGGGTTGGAGGCCGGCAGGAGGGTGAGGGAGGAGCAAGCAGGAGACGTACTGGAGCCTGCAGGACGACTCCGAGGCCGAGCTAGGCGATGTGCATGCGCCCGAGGCGAAACCCGCGAGCTTTCGCGTCCAGAGCAGTCGTTGTGGGTCTCCCGAGTGTTCTAGCAGCAGTGGAGGGGTCCAGGACGCGAAAGAGAGCGAGAATTGGGCGGGAGAGCGGTCGCAGGGGAGCTCAGAGCGGCCAGATCGCGTCCCAGTGCACGGGCAACCGAGGGACGCGCCACAGAGCGAGCAGTAGCGAGTGAGTGAATGCAAGAGTAAGCCACTCGGACGCGAGCAGACAAGCGGCGCAGAGGAGCAGGACAGACGCGAGAGAGCAGAGCAGAGAGCAGAGCACGATCTAACCGAGAGCAATCCCGGCCAAGACGGAACCCTAACCGCCGAGGTGCTGGCCAAGTCGTCACTGGGCGCCTTCTTCCCCGCACTCGACGACCACGACCTCGACCTCCCGCTCATCGTCTCTCGCGCCCTCGACCGCCTCTATCCGCCATGAGCTGTCACTGCTGCTGAACGTCGAGCGTCCTGGTTCATGCTGTCTCCTCTCGTCCGCTCTCCATGGCGGCGGCTCACTTCTGCGACGCGCCTACCCCGCCTCGCGTATCCTGCCCGCGCATCGAGCTACTCCACCACGTCCGGGACCCGCCCAGCATCACGCACCAGCCGCTATTCTGGCCGTGCGGCCTTCATTGTTGTCTGCGCAGGTCTCGCATACGGCCTCGACCGCGCGGTCAACGCGTCGGCCATCGGGTGAAACCTGCGGACACTGTGGACGGTGAGTAGCCTACTGCGCTCCCATTGTGCGTTCAGCTCTCACGCGACCTCTTCCCCACGCAGCGCTTGACGACCGCGGTAGATTACAAGCTTAACTTTACGCCCGAGAAGGCAGACCAGATCCCCGCTCTGCAGGAACGTCCTACATAAATAAAGGTACGTCGCATCCTCTACACTCGCTATCTGCTCCTCATGTCTCTGAACCCCGCCTCGCAGACCGCGTCTACATTCCACGCATCTTCCCCGAGCTATCCACCAAGAAGATCACGACGGGCGAGTGGATTGACGGCGTCCGGCTGAGTGACAAACACGGCATCTCGCTCCTCATGGGTGACGACCGTGCCTCCGTCCCCAGCACAGACCCGCTCGACACCGACCGCTTGGGGGTGTGAAGTGGGTGATGCAGACAAAGATTGACCTCTGGATGTGCAGTAGACAGAAATATATCCCCTTTGCAGGGGACGAGCGCGTGTGTCGTGGGTGGGGCTGTACCTATAGGGGAGTAGGCCGTGGACTGGAATAGGAGGGCATCAGGAGCACCAGACTTGGAGCTCGCAAATCGCGCTTTCGGCGTGCAAATTGTGTCGTATTGCATAGTATCGTACTTGTACTGTACAGGGTACACGTCCTGCGGTGGGGCGAGGAAGACTAAGGGATACAGAAAGGGAACATGCACAGGGCGCTCCCCCACTCGGACACCTCCCGGGAGCTCCAGACTCATCCGAATCGCACGATTCAACACGTGTTGGGTCGTATCGTATTGGGGGTGCCATGTCCGCTCCGCGTCATCGTGTCAATCGTGCGGCGCGGAGGCCGGGGGAGAGCCCAGGGGAGCCAAGTCCAGCGGACAACTCCCCTTGTGCGCATCCCAGGCGTCCTGGCGCGTCGAAACCGCGCGAGGACGTAGCCTGGCATCGCTCACATCCGTCGAGTGCGTCAAGACGCGGTCGCATCGTCGCGCCGTCGCGAAATCGAGCGAGCGTCAAGTTCTGTCCTCCCGGGCCTCGAAGTCGTCGTAGGGCGCCGAAATCGCGCACGAGCATGGCGCGGAATCTTGCCGTACGCGTCGAAGCGCCGGAATCGGCCAGATCCGTCGGTGAATCGCAGAATTGAGCGGGGGAGACTCGGGTGCCCAAAGACTGGCTGTAGGCGCAAACACTGCGCTCCCGGACTTGAACGTGCACATCGCGAGCTGATATCGTGCGTGGTGGACGTCTGGAGTGTTCTCTAGCTACGACACGCGTCAAAGCACCGGTGAGTGGCTGTGAACGCGCGGAATCACAGCCGGGAGAGTCAGGGCACCCAAACTGGCCGTGAGCACTCAGTCCGAGCTTGCGGACTCAAAGCAGCGTGTCGCGCGCTGAAATCGCGCGTGGGCAGAGTGTAGGATCGTGTCCTGCCGCGTCACCAGTTTGCACGCGGTGGCGCGGCTGCGAACGGGCGGAAACACGAAAATTGGTGGCAGGGGACCCGGGACCAGCCATGGGAGTTGAGTGCATCCTCAGGCCGCTCGCAGGCGCGCCGGAACGCCAGAATCGTGTACGCAGGGTCTGGAGCGTCGTACTGTACTGGTGGGGCCATTGGACACTCGCTGTGTCGCTGCAGAGGCGCAAAATCGCGATCGGGAGAGGCAGGGGCTCGGGGACTGGCTGAGAGCACTAATTCCTGCCCTCCAGGGCGTCGCAGTGGTCGTATCGCCGCGACACTGTGCACGCGGAGAGCGTAGAGTCTGCCCCTTATGTAGAGACCGCTTGGACGCGGCGGCGTGGCGCCGTCGTTGCGCAATCGCGATTGGGAGACTCAGGGGTCCAGAGCTAGCTATGGGAGCCAAAACTCCGGAGCTCGCGGGCGTCGTAGTCGTCCTAGGCTGCCAAAATCGCGCGTGTATAGCCTTCTGTGTTGTGCAGTACCGGTCGGGCAGTCTAGACACGTCCGCATCGACGCGTCCTTGCGAAATCGAGAGAGAGGGCATCGGAAGCCCTTGGGAGCCGAGTCCGAGGCTTGAGGACGTTGTAGGCGCCGTACAACGCCGAAAACACGCGCCTGCGCACCTGGGACTTGTCCCGCGCCGCGGATGGCGTGTGGACGCGGCTGCGCGGCCGCATCGTCGCGAACCCGAGGGGGAGAGTGTCAGAAGCTCGGGACCAGGCCGTGGGAGCGAACTTCGACGTTTGCGGGCGTCGCAGAGGTCCCAGGGCTTCGCGAAGACGGGCGTGGGATCTCCGGTTTTGTACTGTACGCGTGGGACCGGCAGGACGGCACATAACTGTCGCTTTGGCGCAGAATTGAGGAGGAGAGTGTTGAGGGCCCCGGAGAGGGCCATCGGACCCGGGGACAGTCCTGGGCGGGCGGCAGACGTCCCAGGGCTTCGGAACCGCACAGGCAGTGGCTTGAGTGTCGCATGACACGCGTAAGATCGTTGATCCGCGGCGGTGCAGTGGCAGCGTCGTGGAATTGAGAGAAGCAGGTGGGTGAGTCGCCCAGAGCAGGCTGCAAGGCGTCGAGAACGTTGTGTCGTTCCGGGATTGTGCGTGTCGTGCCGGAGAAGTCGCCTAGTACTCATAGAATAAGAGAGAGACGGCTGCGCGGCCGCGTCATCGCGTCGTCGAGAAGGAAAGACTCGGGGGCCCGGGAAATGTCTGTGTCCACCGCCGGGCCGGGCGCAGGAGCCGAGACGCGCCGTAATCGTGAACGTGCGGAGCGCGAGGCCGTACAGTAAGCGTGAGAGGGTCCAGATATCGCTGCACCAGCGAGAGGTCGCTGTTCAGCGTCGAAGTAGGCGTCCGGGAGCTTCGTGCAGCGTCCGGGGACGTGTGGATGTCAAAATGACGCGCTGCTACACCCCGGACGGAGCTGCAGCTCTTGTACGTGCAGTCTGGACGCGACCGCATGCGTCCTCGCTCGTGAGCGCAAAGTTGATCCGGCTGCGTCCCCGGGCATGGGTCGCGTCATGTTGTAGAACGCGCGTAGCGGCGAAGGAGGTGCGAACAAGCGCGAAAATCGCGAGGGGGTGGGTGGACATGACAGGTTCGCGCACTCGGACGCACTCGGGCGCCTGATCTGGCACCTCTCGAATCTGCAAAGGCCCGACGCGCTGCCAGTCTGCTTCCACGCGGCCGTCGTTGCGCGCCGCCTATGCGACCTCGTTCTGGGGACGTTTTCGCGCCCTCACACGGCGAATGCGCGGTGTCTGCTCAAAGTCAGCCGGAATCTGCGGGAGAGGGCGCGGCCGGTACGTACCGTGTCTTCGGCGCGCGTGGGGCGTCTGTGGCGTCGTAAATGGGTTGCGCCGATGCGGGACGTTGTGGTGCTCGCTGCGCGTCCCCGGGGGGGCTCGCCGTGTTCGAGTCTTCGCGCGGCGCGGTCGAGTCAGGTCGACGAGTGCGAGTTGGCGCAACGATGGGCGGGTGTGCGGTTCCGCGCCGGCGAGACGTCCCGTGTGCTCGAGAGTGCCTGCGCAAGCGTACCGCAGCGTTATCCGGCCCGTACCGATGTCCAGATAGATTTCATCCTCACTTACAGCATTCCGGACTGATGCGGAGTGCGTCGAGAATGCTTCCGGTGCTTTACTTCAAGGATGTCCCTCCGCGAGGCTTGAAGCTCGCGTAGTGACCGTGCTGTGAACATGTCGTAAGTTGGCTGCAGGTGCGCGAACGGATAGATAACTTACCACTGCCAAATCTGCACTCTCCAGTATGCCCCAAGTCCCGCCTCGGGAGCTCCTCCGCAACATCGACTACCCCTCGACGTCTGCCCCGAACGGTCCCGCGCGAATGCGAACGCGCAGAGACCCCCAGACGCGCGCGATCGCCTTCGGCGCAGAGTCTGGGAGATGCCGGTAGTGGGCGCATATACCGACACGACCCGAAACTGCCAAGTCCTTCTCGCCCGCCGCGACTCTGCTGGCGACTGCGACCGTCGACGTCTGCCGTGCTCGTGTGTTCTCGCTCTGGGTCTGCCGGCTGCTCTCCCTCGTCCTCTGTGCCCTCCGTCGCCCTCAACCTACCCGTGCAAGTCTGCCAGCCGACGTGTTCGCGCCCTCTGACGCCGAATATGCGCTGTGTCTGCTCGGAGTCAGTCAGGATCTGCGAGAGAGGGCACACCGAGTACGTACCGCGTCTTCGGCGCGCCTGGGCGGTCTGTGGCGCAGGGAGCGAGTGGCGCGGGCGTGGGAGATTGACGGCGCTCGCTGCGTGTCCGCTAGGGTGCTCGCCGTGCTCGTCTGCGCGGGGCGCGGTCGACGAACGCGCGAGACGGCGGAAAGGGGCGCGGGCGTGCGGTTCAGCGCCGGGGAGACGTCCTGTGTGCTCGAGACTTCTGGCGCGAGCGTACCGTGTCGTTAGCCGGCTCGTACCGAAGTTCGAAAAGGGAAAAACTCACCTCGTTATTCCAGAACCGTCAGTCCGCGCCGGTTTCGTGCAAGGGGAAGCCTCCCGCCGCGCCTGTGGATAGGTGCCCGCCACTCGAAGAACGGAGGCCGCGTGGGGGCGAAGGAGTGAGCGGGTGCGACAGCGCACAGCGGGGGAGTGGGAGGATGGCAGGCGGGTCGTATCGTGGGTATATGTACGGGACGGGTACCATAGCAGTCGAGGGGTGTGTCATTCGGTATCCAGCGAGCGCGTACACATGTCTCACGAGGCGGTTGTCTTGTATCTGGTACATCAGGTCTTCTATATGTGCCAATGTGCTCGCTGACTCACGTATATACAGGATGTTGGTGCAGTCCTGCGAGGACCGGGGCCGATGGGAGGCGATCAGGGCTGTGCAGAGTCCCCAGGCAGCGAGAGGGCCGGTAAGTGGGACGACTTGCGTGTAATCTCTCCCGCATACCCATGACAGAGCCTGCGAGCGAATTGCACCGGTGCATGTGGATGGAAGCCAGCGAGTGGGTCCGCGCGGTAGGTCGTCAGATAGGCGCCCATAAGGCGTCGCAGCGTGCGAACGTCCGCGCGGGGGACGTCGCAGCTGGTAGGGCTTGTAGATGGTCTTGTATTGGTCGTAGGGAATCGCAGCAATGGAATATGTTGCCCCTGAACGAAACTGGCGTGAGTGCACAAGGAGAGGAGATAAGCTGGGAGCGTACCTGGGTCAATATCGCAAAGAAGCGACCGGCAACGGCGTTGGGGCGGGTGCAATGTCATGGGGAGCATGCAGGACAGTCTTGCATGTATGTCTGTGCGCGTGGCGGGCGTTCGCAGTCGTCGGCGCGGGGAGGAGAGCCTGCAGGTCACAACGGTCAGCACACAGCCCTCGAGAGCGACAGAGTGCTCACCGAGTCTGTACGTAGGCTGTATGCCCGACGAGCTGTATGCTGGCTGTGTCGTCATCGAGTGTAGCAGTTGTCCACACCAGCGGCGCAGATCACGAGTCGGGGGTGGGGACGGTGGCGAGC